AAAAAAATTAGTTTTTATTGATTTTATAAATCTATTTGAATCTCGTTTATTGGTAGATGGAATTTTTTTTTATAATTTAACTCATTAATATAAAATCAATAAATTTGAATTGGAGAATGAATCATATTTACCTCTTCAGAAAAATATGGGCTATTTATATCATATCATCATATGTTGTTTAACCCAAAGGACTCAACAATAAATTTATATTAGGGAGGAGGTCGGAGAGTTTCGTATATTAGAAGTTAAGCTCGGAATAAGTGTTACAAAGTAGACCGCAGTAGATAGTCCGGACAAATCCCGGTCTATTAGATTGTTATGAACCAGGGAGAGCGTAGTAGACCGGACAGATCCTGGGCTACGCAGTTCGTTGCGAGCTAATAAAGATATGTAAATGTTTTCGGTATTTTTCGGTTGGTGGTGACCTCCCGGCGAGCTCTCTGTCGGAGTTAGAGACCTGAACGGTGATGCTCTGGGTCCCTTGTACTCTCTTTCAGAGGAATGGAAGATGAATAGTCACATCACATTGTACCTCAATTTATAGTACAAGGTTGAAGGTACATACTAGGTTTTTATTAACTGTAGTTACCGAATCTGACCTATGTTTAACCAGACCGCGGTTACTGTTTGAGTTGGGCTTCCATTGTTCACGAGCGGCAGACCGTTGGATCACAGACCGTTTGGACCGCAGGTCCAGGCTCAACAGTAGCCTCCCCCAGTCAGCGAACTGAGATGGGCCGAGCTTCGCTGTTTCCGCGTTTCAGGCCTGACAAACGAAGCCCAATTCGAAGTCGATCCCTGATTGGTCTTTTCTGCCGCCCTAATGCTTCACCCGAGGTACGACGGTTCGTCTTCCGGTATGGGTCTATAAAAGAAGAAGCCCTCATCTCATTTCTCCTCACTTCGCTTCTTTCGCTTCTCTCTCTAAAGGTATTTGTTCTCTCTCCTTCTCTCTCTAGTTTTTCGTTAGGTAGGTTTTTGTTGTCCCATCACCTCCGAGTCCGCCGTCTTAGTTTAAACTTCCTAATCGATCTTCAAAGACTTCGCCGTCTCGACCTAGTTTATGGCTTTCTTCAAAGAGACCGTTGTTCTATCTGGTTGATGTCCTCTCCGATTCAGATTGATTCTTCCGGTGAAAACTCTCCTAATCAGAATTTGGTCAGCTCGTCTTATGCATCTTTGTCTTACAGTTTATCATTGATGGAGGAAGAGACCATAGCTCGTGTTCATAAAGCTCGCATCTCGAAAGAAGGTGATGCGGAATCTAGCTCAGTCGAGGGTCCACGACCTAGTCATTGGCCTTTTGAGGTCGAAACTTCGAAAGCTCCTAAAGTCGTTGGATCCTTCCCTCCCGGGGCTCGATATAGCCGTGGGCGGTCTCAGCGTGGCTCTCTTTGGACAGGGGTACAAGAGGATCCCAACTCTTTTGGTTTATCGATCTCGACTCCGGACAGACGGGACCCTCCAGGACCCGGCCTAGGGCATCACAGAAAATTAGTTCGTTTTGACGATCAGAAGACCACGTCGTCCCTTGAGTCATTGGAGGCGATGCGATCTGCCAGGAATCTCTCAAAGATCGTTGAATTCCTGGTGCCTGGAGAGAGTGACCGCTCCTAGATTCCTCCAGAAGGGTATATGTGCTTATACGAGTCATTCTTCACGGCGAGCGGGCTATGGTTTCCGTTGCCCCGGATATTGCTCGAGTATTTTGCTCGGGAGGGTATAGCTATTTCTCAGCTCACCTGGACCTCAATCCAGAACTTTGCGGTCTGCCTCACTCTTGCCGCTGAGCATGAATAGAGTATGACTGCGATACATTTGAGGCGATGACTCAACTGAAGTGGCGGAAACCTTCAGGCCGTTTCTATGTATCGGCACGCCCCGGATACTCGTGGTTGTGTCCGGACTCCATAAGTGATAAATGAGACAACTAGGAGTTCAAATATTTCTTTGTGAAGATCGACGCGGCTTCCGTTGAGAATCCGAGATGGCTAGTTCGGGCTGGCTGGAACATTATAATCAGTAGGCTTAACATCTCACTGTGTTTGCGAGTTTACTTGTTTAACCTGACACATAACCTTCTTCTTTGTTTGCAGATTACCCAGTTCCACCGATCTTGACCGCTCCTAAGCCCGGCGAGAAGACGCTGATTCCTCTTTTGAAGAAGCTGAAGCCTCAAATTTGGCCAGAATTTCTCGAACAAAGAATTCAAAGGTTTCAAGAGCGGATTACGATATGTTGGGATTTACTCGGTTTTAACCGGGCTGAAACCTTAACCTTCCGCAGTTTTTGGCTTATTCGGGCTATTCACTGAGGCAGGTTTTTTTTTGTTCCAACAGGTTACTGTACCCTCGAGCTCGCTCCACTTAGACCGTATTCCTTTCCTCCGATCAAGCTGAGAAAACCCCTTCAAAAAACGAGGGAAAAATGGTTAAGGCTAAGTTCAAGAGGGTGAATTACACCGATGTCGCCCAGGAGAGTCCGATCCCGGGCAGAGGGGCTTCGGCTAGCGCTCAAGGAGCGCCCACTCACGTCTCTTCGCAGGCCGAGAAGGCCGCTGAAATTTCTCTCGCTGGGAAGAAGGCTGGAAAACGCGTGGCAGACCCTCCTGCTGAGGCCGCAAAAAAGCTTTCTGAAAAGGAAGTCATGAAGAAGAGGCCTTCTAAGGCCGCTGCTGAGGGCTCGAAGAAGAAACAGCGCGTCGTGGTATCGACGCAAAAGTCCGCCTCTGTCGAAGTCGCTGCTACGGGTTCCGAGGAGGGTCAGGCGGCTTATGATCTTTCGTTTAACTTTAATTCGAAAGATTATATTGCAAGTATCTCGCAGGCATGCGCTGAGCTATGCTCCAATATCCCTTGCCAGCATGGAGCACTTCTTTTCTGAGCCCGACGACTTGATCGAAGCAGAGGCGTATCAGCTGTTCACGGGGAGTATAATGGAGGTATCGTCTTTTAGCTTGATGTTGTGTCTTTTTCAATCTTTGCTTCTACTTTGCCTCTGCTTATCGACCTTCTTTTGACAGATGATCACACATGGGAATTTGATCATCGAAAAATACGACTGTCGATCTCGGGGGCTTTTGAAGAAGCTTGAGGATTATCCAAGCGTGAAGAAGGAGGCTAAGAAGGTTCCTGGTCTTGAGAAGAAGGTCGCAGCGTAGATCGCCGCGATGGATGATCTGTCAAAGAAGGCTGAGGAGGCAAGGGAGCGAGCAAAATATGCCGATGCTAAGCTCTAGAGGGTAGAAGTGGAAAAAGAGTCTCTGCAATCTTTCCACGAGTAGGAGATGGCTCATCCGCTGTCTTCTCAAAGGCACGAGGTCAATCAGATCATTGCGAAGAAGTGCGAT